GGAGCGCTAGTTATTCCTCGTGGGAGGAGGTTTACCGGGGCTGCCGACAAAGGGCTTTGATGTCGGCAGAGGAGCGTCCAGACTAGTGCGCTGAGCGGACAAACAGCTGATTAGCTGTTTGCCGGCTCAGCGCGGCAGCCATGTAAATTTAAATGAAGCCGTGATCATTTAAATCGCGGCTTCATTTGACTTTGCCAAACAAACAAATCTACATAGCTCCGTTGACGGAGCCATGTAGTTTAGACGTACCCTATGATAGGAAAACAGCTGAAACGCCCATATTCCACACTGGCATTTTTCTGAAACTATCATCTTATTCTCCAGAATAAAACTTTAAAAACATGAAGCAAGTATATGCAGATATCAGTATGTAGACAGTTTGGAACAATAGCTCTGAGAGGAGAGGTGCAAACTGACCCATTCATCTCAGGGAAGTGATCACTTATGCGCTCAGTGATGATATTTTAAATAAACCCATGAAAGCTTATGCCCAAAATAAATCTCTTAGGGTATGTCTACACTACAGCACTAATTTGATCTAACTTAGTTCGAATTAATTAATTCGAACTAAACTAATTCGAACTAACGCATCCAGACTAAAAAACTAGTTCGAATTAGCGTTTTGCTAATTCGAACTAGCATGTCCACACTGAGTGGACCCTGAAACGAGGTTAAGGATGGCCGGAAGCAGTGCCGGCAGGGCATCAGATTAGGACTTAGAGCATGGAGCTGCTGCCTCCGGCTAGCCGAGGGCTGTGCTTAAAGGGACCCAACCCCCACCCCGGACAGACAGTTCTCAGGGGTGCCCCGCTTGCAAAGCAGTCCTGTCTTGGAGTGCCCTGAGTGCCCACACTCGGCACATCACAGCACTCGGCCATCAGCCCGGCTGCACTTGCCGCAGGCTGCCATCCGGAGGGGGGTCAATCAAGGGGCTTCAGGAGAGCTTCCACCATGAGGAGCCCGCAGAGCCACCCCAGTCCTCCCCATTGGGGGGCTCGTACCTCATTCCTCCCTCACCTCCTTCCACTTACCCCTCTCTAGCCCCCCTTCCTGATGTACAAAATAAAGGACGCGTGTGTTCAAAAATAGAAGCTCTCTTTATTGAACAAAACTGGGGGAGACTGGGAAAAGGAGGTGGGAGAGGGGAAGAGAGAGGGTGGGAGAGGGAAGGGCAACTAAAATGATCAGGTGTTTGGAATAGGTCCCATATGAAGAGAGGCTAAAGAGACTGGAACTTTTCAGCTTAGAAAAGAGGAGACTGAGCGGGGTTATGATAGAGGTCTATAAATGCATGAGTGGTGTGGAGAGGGTGCATAAAGAAAAGTTATTCATTAGTTCCCATAATATAAGGACTAAAGGGCACCAAATGAAATGAATGGGTAGCAGGCTTCAAACTAACAACAAAAAGTTCTTCTTCACAAAGCAAATAGTCAACCTGTGGAACTCCTTGCTGCAGGAGGCTGTGAAGGCTAGAACTAGAACAGAGTTTAAAGAGAAGTGAGATAAAGTCATGGAGGTTGGGTCCATGGAGTGGTATTAGCCAGGGGGTAGGAGTGGTGTCCCTGGCCTCTGTTTGTGGAAGGCTGGAGAGGGATGGCACGAGACAAATGGCTTGGTCACTGTCTTCGGTCCATCCCCTCCAGGGTCCCTAGGG